CTGATGTTGAAGTGTCTTTATTTATGACATATCACATGATGTGGCAGTACCCTATATTATGGTATGTTAACTGATGTTGAAGTGTCTTTATTTATGACATATCACATGATGTGGCAGTACCCTATATTATGGTATGTTAACTGATGTTGAAGTGTCTTTATTTATGACATATCATCTGATGTTGCATTACCCTATATTATGGTATGTTAAATGATGTTGAAGTGTCTTTATTTATGACATATCATATGATGTTGCATTACCCTATATTATGGTATGTTAAATGATGTTGTAGTGTCTTATATTTATGACATATCATGTGATGTGGCAGTACCCTATATTATGGCATGTTAAATGATGTTGAAGTGTCATATATATATGACATATCATATGCAGTTGCAATGCCCTATATTATGGAACATCATTTAACATACCATAATATAGGGTAATGCAACATCAGATGATATGTCATAAATAAAGACACTTCAACATCAGTTAACATAGAAGTGTCTTTATTTATGACATATCATATGATGTTGCATTACCCTATATTATGGTATGTTAAATGATGTTGAAGTGTCTTTATTTATGACATATCATATGATGTTGCATTACCCTATATTATGGTATGTTAAATGATGTTGTAGTGTCTTATATTTATGACATATCACGTGATGTGGCAGTACCCTATATCATGGTATGTTAAATGATGTTGTAGTGTACTTTGTTATGACGGTTCCACATCAGAAGATGAACATTTCTACCAAATCAAATACTTGTATCTAAAAATCATTAACTTTCACTTTTCTTTGTTTAGAAATATTTTATTAACTCTGTATATTACCAGTGGTAAGCAAGTCTGTCAGTAAGAAACATTTCTTTGAACATTTTGTTATATACATATTTATATGAAACCACAAATTATACAAAATATCCAAAAACTTTCTAAAGATAAACAATTTCTAGACAATAGGTGTGACACAAAACACAATCTATGCCTCCATTGTGATAGTTTGTTATTGCATGGGTTCTTATTTACCAGTCGACTTGTAAATGATTAACACATTCTAGGAATGTACTTTTCAAATTACCTCATAATAGAGATCTCCATGTATAGTCATCCTGGGTTTAGTCTGCCACTTGAAAAAGGCATCATGCAGTTTCTGATAATCAATATCTATCTTCCCTAATTTTGGTCGAACCTTTTCTCTCATCTTGTTTTTCAAAGTTTTCTGGTCCTCCTACAGAAGTTGTGTAATTCTACATTATCCAACTCCTCTGAATTCTTCAAAAACCCATACTTACAAACAAACTAAAAACTTTTATTACACATATCATATATTCAAGAAGGTCTTTAAATAATAGTAAAGATATTAGTGAATGAAAACTCCAACATGTAATCTGAATTTTTTTTTTAAATGTGAAGAATCAAAAAATTGCTTTCTAGAAAATATGTTAAAATTAAGCCATCAATTTTATAAAACGTTTATTTTCAGTACCTTCAATAGTTATTTTCTACAAATGCATTGGAAAACTAATGTCATAATTATATGGTTGAAATCATTTCTTAGAGAGATATTAGTTACGTTACCACTGTTAAACAAAACTTCATTGTCAATGACACATCCAGCATGGACTGTTACAATGCACAAATGTTTTTCATATGGATATCCAGAGAAATGTAATTTGTCATTTCAAAGTTTATTTAGTGTCGGCACTTATTAGGCACCTTCTTTTCAATAATAACTTCACATGAATCTGTTACCTCTTACAATACATGTGCTTATATGTATACATATACTTTACACATATATACATATTTTTTTCCCCATAGATGTAAATCATACAAATAAGCACTGAAAATCCAGTACATTTTACAAGTTATATGTTATATTAAAATTGAGTGTCTACAAGTTTTTACTATCAGATTAAAGGTTCAAATTAAACAGTCTAATACAAAAGATTACAAGTTTTAAACAATTAAGATTTACAGTTAAATACCAATGAACCAAGTAATTTGGGCTAGCTACACTAGTTATATGGTGCATTAATACATACTGTAACACAAATTGAGTAAAAGAACTACATTTCCATATTTTATGTGCTGTAGTTTACCTTCCACTCCACTTTTTCTACATTATTTTAGTTCACATATCCCCCTCCTCTGACAAAATACATTGTATATTAAATACTTATATTACTCTGCAAGTCTCTCGGGTATTACAAGAAAGACAGTGCCAACTTGTTTTATACTTTTAACTTCCTGTTAAATCAGTCACATGTTAAAAATAGAATCAGTGTGCTCATTGGTGTTTGTTAACAGCCTGATCTGCAAAAAGTGTACCCTCTTTTTTATATTTAAATGGAGTTATTCAGAGAAACAAAAATAAAATGGCAGATATGATATCAAAACAACAGACAGTCACAGACTATTTCAGGTTATAATCTGTAATAGTATTACATACCTTCTCCTGTAAAGCTTGTCTCATTTCCATAATTCCTGTACGTTTTATGAAGTCGGGCAGTTCAAAAGGTGGTTTTTCAATTCCTCTCTTTCCTTGCAAGTATTTTCTTTTAAAGCACCAATGCCGTGGAACGGGCACAGAATTTCGGGCAGCCTTTAAAAGAATATTTTTCAACATATGAAAATAAACCAATTCCAAATAAATATAAATAACAGTTACTTATTGTGATCATAACATCTTTTTCAATTCTAAGATTAGACAAAAAGAAGAAGAAATTAACTTGCCTTCAAATGTAGAAGTAACACAGGATCTTTGGCAGTAACATCGTGCATCTCCACTAACTCTGGTCTGCCAACTTTCTATACACAGATAATGGGAAAAAAACAAAAATTGCTATTAATTTAATATTTTAAAGCAATTGTTACTTTATGTGAAGTCACATGACTTCAGTGTAGGGTTGTATTTGTAAATGATCCAAAACTAGATCATTTTAAAACCTTTAACTGCCACTCTATATTCTGTGAACTTTGTATAGTAAGCCAACTCCATAAGGTCTTCTACTTTACAATGTTTCCAATTAACTAGGAGGTTTTATTAATACACTTTAAAATAAATCACCTTGATTTAGGAAGATTTTATGATTTATTATTGTTTTTTTAACAAAATATGTTTGTGTCATACTACTGGAGACTAGAAGGAGCAAATGAAATCCAGGATGATAGAGAATGGTCGAATCAAGACAAAAATTATTATAAATTCACTTTTATCAGGAATAGAGGAATAAATAGCACATAAGTAAAGTGAAAACTAAAAGATGGAAGATGAACAAATGGTTAGAAATGATGGTGACATTCATAATAAAGTTCAATAAAGAAAAAAAGTAATACTGACTAATGAAGAAATTTCCAAACTTATTTCAGAAGTGGCTACATGTAAAGACTAGTGAGGAAATAGTAGTATTCTGTTGTCCACAGTTGTGGAAAAGTGTCTTAACAAATGGCTAGTAAAAGTACAGCAACTTGAAACTCATGATTAAATGTACCTTTTATTTAATAATAATTTGACAAAACAAAATTAAAACATTTTCATTTATTATCAACAAAATGCATATCTCAATCAGTAATTCTTACTCTACCTTACCCAGTGAAAATTAATTTTGTCATTTGGATCAAAATCATAAAAAAAAAAACCTTAAATTATTTTTTATTTTGTCTTGGACAGAGTTCAGTTCTAGCAATATCACTTCACTGTGCATTTTTATGTTTTAATAATAACGTTTTAATATTTATCAAACATACACTCAGCTTAAAGCTTATTCCACTTCAATTTACTAAATACGCTTTCAATTCAACTTTGATACCCTACTGTATCACCACAAGTTTTTATTTTCTCAGTAATCAAAAACAGATTCTGGAAATAAGTTATTTTGCATTAATTTCTCAACAGTGAATTTCTACTTCAACAATATGATTTGGCTTTTACATTTTACTAGTCTTAAAAAAAAAAGACCTTTTCTTCTAAGTCAACCAAAACTTATTGTTGCATTTCTTAATTTTATATAGACAGAAGTTGTTAAGAAAAACTTACTAAAGTTACTGAATGTTTTAATTTCTCTTATAATTTGTTTATAACAAGTCATTTACCTCTCATTCTGAGCTACCATACCTAGCTTTTATGCTCACTAAATAGACTTTCCACCACTTTCTCAAGCATAAGAAAACATTTAATGTTTTAAAGTTTCTTCGATCACCTCTCTGAACTGTGCAAGTGAAAAAAACATTGTAACGCTATCTGATAAGATGTTCTTAAACTTATTATGTGACATGTAGATACCATATAGCTCCTTTTCTCATACTACATATCTCTATAAGTGCTATTTTCTGTAGCAGGCTCACTCAAGGAAGCTGTCTATTGTTTTACTTTATCCTGCACTAGCTGGAGTGAAATAAAAACTTGTTTATAACAAAGGAAACTGTGCTTCTATTTTTTTTTTTCTAACATAATAAACATTAAAAGTACAATAAAAATACATAAAGGTATCAATACT